CCCCTGCAGCCTCTGCTGGTAGCCACTCTCTGCTTCTATGAATTCCATTGTTAAAGACTCCACATGTAGGTGAGATCACATGTCATCCTTAATTTCTCTTCATTAAAAACATAGATTTTTGGCTGGGCATGGTGGTGCACCCCTATAATCTCAGCAACTCAGGAGGCTTAGACAGGAGGATCATGAGTTTAAAGTCAGCCTCAGTAACTTAGTGAGGCACTAAGCAACCTAGGAAAACCTTGTCTCTAAATAAAATATTTTTTAAAAAATGAACTGGAGATGTGACTCTGTGGTTAAGCACACCTGAGTTCAATCCCCTGTACCCACCCCCAAAAATTAAATCTTGTATTTAAAAAGGTTAACAGTAAGACATTTAAGCTTTATTTTAGAAAAATATGAGAAAATGAAGAGAGGATCACATACCACAATTGTGTTCCAGATGATACAAAAATTCTGTATAAAGCTAGAGCTAGAGCTACAGCCCCCAACCTGAGGAGATACATCCTAAAGGTTTATTGTCTAAGTTATTGTTCAGAGCTCAGGATACATTTTTGCATGGAAACAACAGTTCAGATTACTGAACTCACAAATAAGACAGGAAAAGTCAACTCCTTTTTGAATGTGAAGGACAGAACTCTTGGGTTTTATGTCAAGTTCAACTAACCACCCTTCAGAACCTGGTCCTGATGGAAAGATATATTTCCCGTTGCTCAAGTTCCAACTCGAAATGCCAGGCACATTCTATGCCCACCTCTCTTACACTCATTCTTTGAAACTTTTAGCAGAAATGCCAGGGCCTTTCCTCATAACATGAACTAGAGCTCAGGTCTCCTGTCCCCCAAACTCTTTCCAGAAGCTGTCCCTTGATACTGCATAGAAGGAAATATTTGGATCCATCATTCTTGGGATGTATGCATTGGGAAAAGGAGGTGTTGCCTCCACAGGAAACAGTCCATAGGTTCACACCTCTCCTGTTTGATGGTTCATATGTTAAAGTGGATAGTGTGGTAGAAAGAGCACTGGACTGTGAGTCAACAAACCTGAGTTTGAATCTGGACTATTAAAATTACCTAAGTAACCTTGGATGGTTGACATTGCACATCAACATTTGCATGTATGTGAAAATAATAAATAGGACTAGGACTGTAGCTCAGGGGTAGAGAGCTTGCCTAGCACACACAAGGCCTTGAGTTCAATCCCCAGCACCAAAATAATAATCATCATCATTAATAAACAAGATAGGATTGGGGTGTGGCTAGCAAGCACAAGACCCTAGGTTTGTTCCCATCATTGAAGAAATGAATACCTACTTGCAAAGAATGTCAATGTTTCCCCCCTGTCCTGCTGAGGATTAGAACCAAGGGCTTTGAACATGCCAGGCGAGTGCTCTAGCACGGAACTACATCCCAGCCTCAGGGTGTTAAGATTTCTAAGGAGAGATTTTATAGCCCTCAAGAGAATTTCAAAGGAATCTATCACCACTACCAGTCCCAAAATTAGGAATCTTGACAACATGATCTGCTGAATATTTTTGTCCCTCAAACTTCAAACGAGTGCTGTCTGTGTATTCATGACTTACTCAACACCAAGTACAAGGACCCTCCTCCAAATCAGCAGCCATCATCCTGACCACTAGTTAAACAATAAACAGAAGGACAATTAATGATTTTATAAACTTTTTACATGACTTCTTATTCTCTGAAAATCTTTCTCTTGCTGTAATTAGAGATCTGTCATCCCCAATCTACAGTTTCCAGCAGAGTCTGCCTAATTTGGACTAATTAGATAACACATAGGCCTTCACTTTGTCTTGTAGGCTTTCCCCCCATATCCTCAAGCAACTCATCTTTCTGCTTCAAATTCTGGGGTTCTTGTTTGTTTTTGTTACTGATGATTGAACCCAAGGTCACCTTACCACTGAAGACACTTCCCTAGTCCTTTTTAAATTTTAAGACAGGGCCTTGCTGACTTGCTGAGGCTGGCCTTGAACTTTCGATCCTCCTGCCTCAGTTTCCTGAGTTGCTGGAATTACAGGTGTGCACCATTATACCTGTCTTCTGCTTCAATTCACTTGACATAGTCCTTGTTCTTTAGTGTTCCTGACCAGATGTGAGGGGATGTGATCAGATGTGAGGGGGAATGGAAAAGAAAGTCTAGAGATGTAGCTCAGTGGTAGAGTGCTTGCTTGTCATGTGCCAGATTCTGCATTTGATACCCAGCACACACACACACACAAAAAAAAAATAATAATAATAAAGGAAGGAAGAAGGAAGAAAGGGAAACTAAGGTTCAATCTAATAACTTGGAATTTTTTTTTTCTTTCAGGAAAAGGAGGATCAGATTGCTTGTCCTGTGTGTGGAACTACCACCTCATGGGTGGAATCTGCAACTCCGACTGTCTTGTGGGAAAATACAGAGTGGGAGAGGTACTGGAGAGCTGGGACAGTGTGCTTTCTGCCCTATTTTTATATATATGTATAATTATAAAAATCATATAAATTTATATATATATGTATAATTATATATATATTTGTACCAGGGATTTAACCCAGGGGCACTTAACAGCTACATTTCCAGCCCTTTTTATGTTTTATTTTGAGACAGGTTCTCACTAAGTTGCTTGGGGCCTCACTAAGTTGCTGAGGCTGGCTTTCAACTCACAATCCTCCTGCCTCAGCCTCCTAAATCGCTAGGATTATAGGTGTGTACCACCATACCTGGCTTTCTGCCCTATTTAGAGAGAATGTGAACTCAGTTTCTGCATATCATTCTGGGCAGTCAAAAAGTTCTAAAATTCCTACATTTACTATAATTTAGACCCAACATTGTGAAATCCTTCATGACATCATGAAATAATGGTGCTATTTACCTGTAGCCTTTATGTAAAGCACAGAAATCGAGAAGATCTAAGATAAATAATGAGATGTTAAGTAATGAGGACCTCAGAATGAACCCTACATCTGTTATTCATGACCACAGAAGTTTCAGTCTTTGTAAGACTATTAGGTCAGAAATACAAAATCTCTTCTCTCTTACCCTCTGCTGTCTAACCAGAAACATCTGAGTAAAAGAGGATCCATGCTGCTGTTGATCTTTCATTTACTCCACCTCTTCTGCACAATATATTCAGAAGGATCGAGATTTGCTTCCACAGAACACTTGGGTTTGCCAAGTATACTAATTTCTTGATTGTGCTTCCAAACTTTAGGAAACATGTAAATCTCTCCATAGTGAAATTAATACAAACGAATCTATTTGAATATAGGTGCTCTTTAAATTCCGACACCACCTCTCAACACAGTTTGGAGAAGCTTAAGTTCATGGAGGTTAAGTAATTTTCTAAAATATCACAAGAATCGTAAATAACAAAGCCGGAACTGAACCCAGAGGATTTGTGAGATAATAACAGCTGAGAAAACAATGTAGCAGTATCTAAAATATTCCAAGATGTTCAAGAAAGCAATTTTTGGGGAGGGTGCTGAGAACTGAACCCAGGGCCTTGCACATGCTGGACAAGTGTTCTACCACTGAGCTATACCCCCAGCCCCTCTGTTCGTCTTTTTCTATTTCACCATACTTGCAAAGTTACACAGTAGAATAGGAAGCTATCTCTCCTGACCCACAATTCCAGCACCAAGCAAAGAACAACTTGTCAGGAGGGAAGCCACTTTTTTCTCATCTCTGGACTCTCTTCCTAATAAGATTTAATTGCTTTAGCTACATGGTCACAATTAACATCATTCTGGGTCCCAGCCACAAGAATCCAGTGATCAAGGAAGCTACACAGGTAACTAACATACATGAGTGAAAGAAGGACACTGGGGGAATGAAAACCACAGTTCCAGCTTGCTGGAAAGTGGATATTGATGCATTACCTACGTGTTAGTGATATGATAGCAAATGCTGGGAATTGTGTCACACAGGAAAGCAAAAAACAAAAGTGAGGGGGCACTCAACTTTGTCAGTGACATGAACATGTTAAAATGATGAATCCAGTTGACAGGTCTTCTAGATTTTAAAGAGAAATTAGGAACTGATGTATATATGAAATATTCTACTTTTGAAATGTGAGAAATGAATGCAGAATGTTTTAAACGGTTTAAGGCTACATAGTGCGGGCCAGACAAAACTAATATCTGACCTGAGCTGTCTTAAGATGAGCACAGGATACTGGGTGTGGTGGCACACACCTGTAATCCCAGCAGCTGGGGAGGCTGAGGCAAAGTCAAAGCCAACCTTAGCAACTCAGCAAGGCCCTAAACAACTCAGTGAGATCCTGTCTCTAAATATATAAAAAAGAGCTGGGGATGTTGCTCAATGGTTAAGTACCCCTGGTTCAATCCCATTACCAAAAAAAAAAAAAGAGAGAGAGAACAGAAGCTGTCACTTTATAACAAATTATTGTGGAAGCCTGTTCTCCTACTCTTGTTATGAGCAGGGGTCAGAGGTCAGGACCCAGGAATGGTTTCATCCAGTTGCAGACAGTTGTGTCTGTCTTTTGCCCAGAACACACCATCTTTCTGCTGCCCCTACAGGCTTGCCTCCTTAGAGAGACAAGATGGAATTCTTACTGGGAAATACCAGTACCTTGTTCATCCCTCTGCACTCACAAACAACCTCCTGATTATTCTTAACAGGGAGAGAAATTCAACTGTGAAAAATGCCACGAGAGCTGTATGGAATGCAAGGGCCCCGGCACCAAGAACTGCACCATGTGCCCCGCGTCCCTGCTGCTGCACATGGACGACGGCCGCTGTCTCCACTGTTGTAACACCTCCAGCCCCTCCAACACCCAGGAGTGCTGTGACTGCCAGGAAAGCATGGGTAAGGGGACGGGGACAGCCTGCAGAGGGAGGGTCTGGCCTCAGAAAGCAATGACAGCCACAGAAGAGGAGGATGGAAAGTTCAGGAAAATCAATCAGGCTACCTTTCACTGAGTGCCTGCTGTATGCCTACTGTACTTGAAACCTCGTGCCCATCATCTCAATTCTCAAGTAGATATTATTTTTTAAATTTATTTGTAGTTGGACACTATACTTTTTAATTTTATTTATTTATTTTTATGTGGGACTGAGGATCAAACCTAGGGCCTTGCACATGCTAAGTGAGCGTTGTAACACTGAGCCACAACCCCAGCCCCACAAGTAGATACTATTGATCCCACTTTACAGGTAAGACCATTGAGCCCAAAGGGTTGGATTCGGATTATCTAGGTCTACATCAATATTAAGAGGCTCATTTAGAATTAGAAAATGAGTCTTTTGGACAGCAGAGCCCACATTCTTTCCACTGCTATACTGATTCCCAAGTTAGAGTTCAAATAGGTCTAGAATTGGACCTTTATATATTTATCCCATTCCATTTTTATTCTTCCCTCTTGGGGGAAATAAAGGAAAGAAATTAGCAATCAAGGAGGTTAATACAGTATTATTTTGAATCTGTTGAAGAATCATTCAGTGGAAGTCAGACCAAATCTAAGCCTTGCAATAGAGACTTAAAGCATTTTAGAAATAAACTTTCATTAAAGGTTAAGAAGAAACAAAACTGAGCCAATGGTGCATGCCTGTAATCCCAGGGACTAGGGAGCCTCAGGCTGGAGGATCACAAGTTCAAACCCAGCCTCAGCAATTTTGCAAAGCCCTAAGAAAACTAGCAAGACCCTGCCTCAAAATTAAAAAAATATATATATAAAGGGATAGGGATATGGCTCAGTGGTAAAGTGCCCCTTCATTCAGTTCCTGGTACAGAGAAAAAGAGAGGTGAGTGGGGGGAAGAGAAGAAACAAAACTCCTTTCACCAACTTCCAGACTCCAGCTGTCTTCTAACCTCCAATGTTGTTATCCCCATCCATGAAGATATTTGATTTTCATTATTCACAAACTTAGAAACATCCTGAATGCAATGATTCCTAAAAGGAAAACATATTCTGTATTGTTTATTTCA